AGGTATCTGGACAAGAGGTAGGCGAACACACCTGCCCCGCTAGGTCAATGAGACTTCGCAATTGCCTGCCAGACACCTACGCCAACGGGTGGTAGCAACAGCCATAATAGTGCCTATACGCCTAGCGAATCCAGCGCTTTGTTGTTAGGAGACATTGGAACAAGCCATCTGTCTTGCGTGGCCGATACCTGCTGGTGATTACACGCCGCCCAAACCGCCTCATGACGGCCAAACGCAATCCGCGTGTTTGGCATACCGACACCGCTCACACCCTAGCCTTAACCAGCCCTCGCGCCCAATTCCGACGACAACTCGCAGACTTCACCACGTGGGTTGCGTGGAAACGAGTAACTAACCCCCCCCCTTTCCATGGCTCGCATATTCACTCTCCACGTGTTTGCCTGATGATTAATTATCAAAAACACATGTCCTCCACTTGACTTCCCAAGTTCCGGACTGATAATTTGAGGACAAGTTTATTGGAATGCTGATGTTTCGGAGAGCTTGGTCGACTGACCATTGTCCAAGAGTTAAATGTGCATAATTGGACGCAAATGAGGTAGCCTGCTGTGGTCATAGTTCAACCGTCACATCCGGCGACGTCCACCGTGTGCTCCACAGCAGAGTGAACCAAGCATGATGATTTGCTCGTGAATTAGTTTGTGGTGAGAGTAGGCTTGCGCAGCATCTACCGCACTCTCTCCTCCTCTCCGCCTGAGCCCGGTGTCAAGACAGAGTCAAGGCCGGAGACGGGGGGAGGGGAGGGCACAAAGGGGGTGACGCGGCCGAACCCACACCTTGGCGCACTACTCCACACCCACTGGTCCACAACAGGCACTTGACCAGGATTTTGATCAACAACAACTAAAGGGCAGTCATGCACACGACCTGTATACCCAGCGGGAGCGCAAACACGTCTACCGCCAGAGAACCAGGTACCGGAGAACTGCCAGCACACACCAGGCTGCGAGGGCCACGGTTTGCTGATCATGGCAGAGCAGACTTTCACAAATCTTGGGGCCCGGAAGGATGACTCACAGACCAGCACCCTCCAAAGGCTGGGTAACCAGTCAGTCTGCAACTGAAAGGCACGACTCATCAAGTGACAGTTCGACCATCGATTTCGATGATGTCCACCGTGTGCCCCACAGACTGCATTGTGGAGCAGGGACGGTGACTTGCGCAGGGGGTTATAGTGCCAGTAGACTTGCGCGGCATCTACCTACACTCTCTCCTCCTCCCCCGCCTGAGCCCAATGCCAAGACAGAGTCAAGAAGACCGTAGACGGGGAAGGCCGCAGGTGGATGGCTCGGACGGATCCTCGCCTTGGTGCTCCACTCCGCACCCCCTGGTCAACACACAAATGACCAGGATTGTGACCACAAAACAATGTGGTGATGGCAGTGATCCAGTTGTGCGACGAATGCCGATAACAAGGTCCGCCAGCGCACCCCGCAAATGTTGGCATTTGTTATTGCGCACAGATAACTCCTGCCAAAGTCCGATGTGGCCCCCGTGTTGGTCCAGCGCATCTAACACGTGGCCCGTTTAGAATGCGGACTCATCAAGTAACACACTCCTCACATGCGTGAGCGCACCACGAGTCACTTTAAAAGGAGCCGTAACAGCCTTGCTCTCAGCCCACAAGTCCTCCACTCCACATAAACACACAACTGGGCTAACTGTGTGGACTGAGTCGAGGCGTCAGTCGGCAGCCACTGCGTTTGACACACCGTGATAGTCTCGAACTCGAATCACGCATGCGGCAGAGAAGCAGAAGTAGACGGTCTCCGATTGGTCGATTTTTTCTCTCGCTACCCCGGCATTTTTGGCGGGCTTGCCAGCTGCGTGCGTTATGATTCACCACCTCGATGGAGAGTTGTCAAGTCGCTGTAGGGATTGTTCGGCCTGACGTCTAATTTTCTGCCCTCTTGATTGAGTTCGCCCTCAGACTGTGTCTACGCGACTATCTCGAGTTCTGTGGGCGTCTTGTTTTGGGCTTTGTGCACGAAATGGCACAGGACTTTATAGGCTACAGGAGGGTCAAGATACCTGCTGATACCACGCCACAAGTATTAGCCGTTTTGACTTTGATTTGACCCGCCGCAAGATCAAAAATATGGTCAGTTTCTCGCATATGCATTGTTAGTTAAGATTTTGAGTCTAGTTCCTGTTGCCGGTTTGCGTTCTTGTAGACGGGTCCCCAATTTCCGCCTGGTTTCCCGAAGTATTTGCAGCCTCCACCATTGCGCTTTATTTCTTAGATGATTGCTGAGGGGCCGGTGAGTAGCAGTGTGTCCTTAGGTAGCATAAA